TCTTGCCCTGTCCGACGTCTCCCTTCACCCACTTTTCGGTTGTCTGTCTCCCAGGGAGGAGGTCACATATAGTTCCTTGTAATCGGTTACTGTCAAGCATTTCTTCTAGTTTCGTGAAGTTTTTTTTTTTTAATTTCCCCTAAATCACCAAAGTTTAAGCCGAAGTTTAACTTGATTTAGGCAAAGGTGTGGTGGAGCCCCTAGTCAATACTGTCTCAATGCAGAATGTGTCTGGTGAACCAGTTTCTGCCACACCAGTTCCTGGGCAGGGACTGAGGGACAAATAGGAAAATGTCCTTTTGTTCATTTTGCTCTTATTCACGTTCAGTTAAATTTCTGTTACTTGAATACAGCTCATGACTCTTTGTTTTTATTTTTAATTATGAATTATTTCAGAAATATTACATTGCTTTTGACCATAATAGTTTGACTGGCAGTCAGGTCTCAGTTGCCTTGAGTTGAATGGTTTGTTTGACTTCTTGTTTTGTTCATAGGCATAGCATCTCCAACGACATTATTTGATAGATACAGTTCCCCAACAGCCAACACGACCAGAAGGCGGCTATTTGTTGAGAATGAGAGCCCCTCTGATGGAGGGACACCCGGGCGAATTCCACCACAGCCCCTAGTCAATACTGTCTCGGTGCAGAATGTGTCTGGTGAACCAGTTTCTGTCACACCAGTTCCTGGGCAGACGTTGGTCACCATGGCAACAGCCACTGTCACAGCCAACAATGGACAAACAGTGACCATTCCTGTACAAGGTAAAGATGGCAGAATTTCTTTGTGATATTAACTGAAAAATGTTGACTGGAATGACCGTAGGGGTCAACTGAATGCTGATGGGGAGGCTATGAGAAACCTCCATTTAAAGGACATTGTAGTATCAATACTTGTGATTTTTGTTTGTTTTTTAACTCCGTAACAAACTGTAGGTATTGCCAATGAAAATGGAGGGATAACATTTTTCCCAGTCCAAGTCAATGTTGGGGGGCAGACCCAAGCTGTGACAGGCTCCATCCAGCCGCTCAGCGCTCAGGCTCTGGCTGGAAGTTTGAGCTCTCAACAGGTGACAGGACCCACCTTGCAGATCCCAGGGCAAGTCGCCATTCAACAGATTTCCCCAAGTGGACAACAGCAGAAACAAAGCCAACCTTTAAACAGCAACAGTCTTAGAGCCAGGAAAATCAGCTCTTTATCTCTTTTCTTCAGAAAGGTAATTTTCATGTTCCATTTCATAGCCCAAGCTTGGAAGAATGGAAGTGTTAGAAAAACAAAGTTTGAAATGTTTTTGTTTATCTACCAGGTTTACCACTTAGCAGGTATCCGTCTTCGAGATCTTTGTGCCAAACTGGATATTTCAAATGAACTCAGGAAAAAAATCTGGACCTGCTTTGAATTCTCCATAATTCAGTGTCCGGAACTTATGATGGACAGACATCTGGACCAGTTGTTAATGTGTGCCATTTATGTGATGGCAAAAGTGAGTACGGAAAAGGAAACATACAAAAATGCTACTTCGATATTCTTAGAAAACTTAAAAAGCTTTATTGACATATAATTCTTGAGCCATATAATTTTACTCAGTTCACAGGAACAATCACAGATAATAAAGGGTGCCCCCCCCCCAAAACGGATTTTTTTCACCCTCCTATCTATGTATTTAAATTTATTTACAAAAGAATCTATCGCCTTCAAAATACTTACTCTCCATTACACTTAATACATTTATCGAATCTGTGATTCCGTTCTTGGAAACATTTTTCAAGCTCATCTGTTTGGATGGCTGACAGCACCTCCCTCAATTTTTCTTCATCAAATCACTGAGGGAGTGCAGTTCCTGGGGAAGGCTTGGTTGGCATCACTCTCGATGCTCTGTGGGGTAGGGTGGAGGTCTACCTCTTGTATCACTTGTACAAAACACTAAATGCTGGTTTCCCTTTTTGGTATAAAAACACTCCTCAAATTTCTTTTTGGTTAGTGAAAATACGAAGGGGGTATCCCCCCATAAACCGATGCTCATTTGGGTTTTTTTGTTTGTTTGTTTTTTTCTTTTTTTTTTTTTTAATAATCATTTTATTAGGGGCTCATACAACTCATCACAATCTGTACATGCTTCATCTGTGTCCAGCACTTTAGTACATATGTTGACTTCATCATTCTTACGACACCCACTTTCCCCTTGAGACCCTGGTGTCAGCTCATTTTTCACCTCCCTCCTCCCTCCCCCCTCCCCCCGATAATTTATAATTTATTTTATCATATCTTACCCCATCCCACATCTCCCTTACCCACTTCTCCACTGTCCGTCCCTCAGGGAGGAGGCCACATGTAGATCTTTTCCTTTGTTCCCCCTTTCTCCCTCTCCTTCCCTCCACCCTCCCACCATCGGCACTCTCTCCACTCTCCCTCCCCTGGGGGGTCCATCCGTCCTGGGTTCACTGTATTTCCAGTTCCTATCTGCACCAGTGCACCTCCTCCAGTCCAGCCGGATATGTAAGGTAGAATTGGGATCATGGTAGTGGGGGGAGGATGCATTTAAGAATCAGAGGAAAATTGCATATTTCATCGTTACTACACTGCACTCCAAATGTGGTGAAGAAAGCGGATGATGCTTGGCTACCAAAAGATATAACACCTGAAGTCACTGAAGACAATGGGTGCACAAGCGGGTGTGGTGAGGATAGCTGATGGTGCTCAGCTACCAAAAGACATAGCACCAGAAGCCTTAAAGACCTGAAGATAAACAAATACCATCTAGCTGAGAGACAACAAAACCCCCACAGAAGAAGCACACCAGCCTAGCCCTACTCTATCGCTGAGGACATAGGGGGTGCATTAGCAAAAGTGGGGAAGAAAGCAGATGGTGCCCGGCTATCAAATGATACAACACCTGGGGTCTTACAGGCTTGAAGACAGACGGCCACCTAGTTAAGAAACAACAAAACCCACAAGGAAGAAGTACACCAGCCTACCCCAACACGAATGCTGAAGACAAAGCGGGTACATAAGCAAGGATGCAGAGAAAGCTGATGGTGCCAAGCTGTCAAATTACACAGAATCTGGGGTCCCACATGCTGGAAGATAAACAAGGGGCCATCTAACTGAGAAACAACAAAGCCCACATGGAAGAAGCACCCCAGCCTGTAAGATGACAGGGCGGCGAAAGGGTCAGGTATCAGGCATCAAAGACCAAAAAAAATAAATAAATAACATTGTGAATGAGGGGGGTGGTGCAGAGTGGGGACCCAGGGCCCATCCGGGAGAAATTGGACATCCCCTTGCAGAAGGGCTGCGGGGAGGTGAGGAGCAAATCGGAGTGCAGTGTAGTAACGATGAAATATGCTCATTTGTTTTTTTTGACATGAGGGAGATAGTGCATTTGGAGTTCGCTCCACCAGGTCAGACTATTCATCAAGCTTTCTATGTAGAGGTTTTGAAAAGATGGTGACAAAAAAGCCCTGATTTGTGGGAGATAGGGGGCTGGTTTTGCCACCACGACAATGCACCTACTCGTACAGCCATCTCAGTTTCGGGGCCAGTTTTTGGCAAAAACAGCATGCCTCTTTTGTCCAATGCATCTGACTCCTGACCTTGCTCCATGTGACTTCTTTTTTTCCTTGAGTGAAGAGGGCATGAGAGGACAGCGATATGATGAGACATAAAAGGTGAAGAAACCAACGTGGGAGGTGCTGTCAGCCATCCAAACAGATGAATTTGAAAAGCGTTTCCAAGAATGGAATTGCAGATTTGACAAATGTATTAAGTATAATGGAGACTATTTTGAAGGTGATAGGTTCTTTTATAAAAAATTTAAATACATAGCTTTGGGGGGAAAATCGTTTGTTTTTTTTTTGCTATTCCCTCATATTTATTATCACGTGAATAATTTCATCTTTATTAAACTTCTACAATAGGCCCCAATCAACTTTCTACCTAAGTGGATTATTTTGTGTGTGGACATGTTTTAATTATTCAGATAGATGAGTAAAACTCCTGGGTCATATACAACCATGTTTAACCATTAAAGGAATCGCCAGACTGTTTTCAAGAGCAACTACTATTTTTCATTCTAACTAGCAGATATAAGGATTTTGATTTTCCCTTATGTTCTTCAGTCCTTATTGTACTTTTGATACTGAGTTTGAAGTGGTATCTCTTTGTGCTTCTAATTTGTACTTTTTGATCTCTAATGATGTTGAGCATTATTTTTTTAATTTTCAGTTATATTGGCACATAATCTACATCATACCATTCAATCATTCAATCATGTCAAAAATTGTACAATCATAACCACAGTCAATTTCAGAACATTTTCCCCCCATGACTAAATTACCTTTAAAATTAGTTGTGTGCTCCCTCCCCTGCTGCCTTCAATGTTTACTTCCGAAATCACCTCACCCTTCCCTTTTCCCCTAAGTACCCTACAGATTCTTGCGTCAGTTAGCTCTACATATCCATTCCTCTGTGCCTTATAAACTGGTAAACCCAATAGAAACAATAAAGAACAAAAACGAAATGAAGTGGTAAGGATAAAATAATGATGTACAGATAAAAATACCATAATGAGCAAGAAAAAAAACACCTCCATCAATCTTTAAAAAGCCAGGAACAAGCAAGAGATCCTTGCCCCTAGAACTATTTCAGGTTGGGTCTAGAGAGAGGTCAACTGGCCAAGTATCAGGTTTTGTCCAGCCTAATCAGGATTACAATGTTGTTCCACATCTTGGCCTGTGGCTAGTGGGGATCTGCCAGTGGCTTAATGTGACTAGTTACTCTGCAGATGGGTTTTGGGCTCCCACTGTCCTCCACAGCCTTCCATAATTTGGGTGTTCACAATTTGAGCTCTGATACTTTTCCCTTCGTCATATTTGAATTTTGTACTTGTCATCTTTGGATCACACAAGCTATTGTGCTTCTTCCATGGGGACTTAGTTGCCTCCTCACTTAGATGGCTGCTTGTTTAAATACAATCCTTTAAGACCCCAGACACTATTTCAATTGATAGCCGGGTACCATCTGCTTTCTTCATTACACTTTGCTGCAACACCCGTATATTCAGTGGTCATTTCATAAATGCAAGTATTGAGTTGGGCTAAGTTATCAGAATTAACTGTTCTCGCATTGGGGTTAGTTAGAGTTAAGTAGGTGCCCAGAATCCATCTTCTTGCCCATGTAATATGCACAGCTGAGGTTTACTTTGGCAGTCGACTTACACAAAGTCAGACCCCTATATGACCCACTACATTAGCACCAGCAACAAACCAACCAATAATCAAATAATCAAACAAAACAAAATGTCTCATATTTCTTTTCGGTACATGCCTATTAATGGTATTGCTGGATCATATGAGATTTCAATTCTCAGTTGCTTTAAGTATTGCCATATCATTTTCCACAGTGGCTTTTCCCCATTGAGCATGATGTTGGCTGTTGCTTTCTCATATTTGGCTTTTATTATTCATAGTACTATGAAAGAAAACTAGATATATAGATTAGAGAGAAGGCAATTGAAAGGGCCAGAGGCAAACGTTTTTAAAAGTAATACTAGGAAAATAATAATTTAAAATATAAAATTTGAATAATAAAATAATAACAGCTAGCTGTTACTATATAGTTTAATTATCTTGAGAAAATAACCCTCTGGTAAACCAGGTCAGAGGGAATGAGATTCACTCTTTCGGATGGTGTCATGGCAGAATAAGGCAGTGCCCTACTCAGAGGGCAAATGGCTTATGTGAGATGGTTGTGATTGTGACCAGGGGCTGTTAATTTGCTGCCAATGGACAAGGTGTGTGTTAGGTGTAGCCAGATAGGTTTAAAAAGATAATTTTTTAAAAAATGCCTTAGAATATCCGTGGTTTTTTTAAAAAGTTTTTTGGGCTTTTTTGGATATCGTAAGATCGGTTGTTATGCCAAGCTGTACCCTTGAGTGGAGCTGGAGTTCCCTGGGCTTGTTTACTGCTTGTGCTTGCTCCAGGCTGCTTTGTAGATCGAGCCCCGGTAGGTTGTGACTCGGTAGGTTGTTGGCAGCACAATCTGCTACTGGGGGGGTTTTATGGCTGTGGAGCTGAGTGGATTGGTCCAGTAGAAATGTCCCACCGTTCTGCCGCTTCTGTGGTCAGCCAGGCAAGTGCCAGTGGGGGCTGTCGGCAGAGGCGCATCTTAACAGCAGTTGTTACTGCTTTTTAAATTTTAGTCCATTTGGGTCTACTTATCTGTATGGGGCCTGGAAGAGTAGAATATCCCTCTTGGAGCTCTCCTGCATTCTTTCTGCCGTCCTATGGTGTGTGTTACTCGGTTGCCATCTTGCACTCTGAGCATTACTTTTAATTTATTTGAGCATTGTTTCCGATGCTTTTTGTATATTTTCTTTGGAGAAGTACCTGTTCTATAATCTTATCTATTTTTAATTGCTATATTTGTCTATTATATACAAGGAGTTACAAAATGGTACAGAAACATTCCATTATCTTTTAAAAC